GATTTATCTTAAATAATAGGCTACTTCATTTAAGCAACCCTTAAGCACTTCCCTGTGTCAAACAGATAGAATTTGTAGGAATTTCTTTGAACGTATAATTAGAACAAACCACACAGTAATGATATTCTAAATTCTAAAACCATTTACAGTTGTGACCCTGGACCACAAAACCAGTCAGTCAGTTTTTAAAAAAAATTGAGATTTATACACCATCTGAAAGCTGAATAAATAAGCTTTCTATTGATGTATGGTTTGTTTGACAATATTTGATATGACAACATTTGGCCGAGATAAACTATTTGAAAATCTGGAATCTGAGGGTGCAAAAAAATCTAAACATTGAGAAAATCACCTTTAAAGTTGGCCGAATGAAGTTCTTAGCAATGCATATTACTAACCAAAAAATAAGTTTTTATATATTTACGGTATGAAATTTACAAAATATCTTCATGGAACATGATCTTTAATTAATATCCTAATGATTTTTGGCATAAAAGAAAAATCGATCATTTTGACCCATACAGTGTATTGTTGGCTATTGCTACAAATATATACCCATGAGACTTATGACTGGTTTTGTGGTCCAGGGTCACAATTATATTAATGTGCATATTGTTGTTAATATTTCGATGACACTGTCAATAAAAGTAGCATTCAAAAAATAGCATTCAGATGTGTTTATTAAGATTGATCATAAATGTACTTTTTTCATTTAAGCTCTTGAATTAATTTGAATGTAAAATTAGAATAAATGACACCGTATTCTAAATTCATAATTATATTCATGTGCATATTCTTGTTGTTGTTATTTCGATGACAGTGCCAGTACAAGTGACATTCAAAAAACAAATGTTTCCTAAGATTGGCTACTTTTTCATTTAAGCAACCCTTAAGCACTTCCCTGTGTCAAAACAGGTAATATTTGTCTGTTTGTGGGAATTTCTTTGAACGTATTATTAGAACAAATCACACAGTAATGACAGGCCTATTCTAAATTCTAAAACCATTAATAATTATATTATTGTGTATATAAAAAAAAGTACATTCAAAAAGCAAATGTGTTAAAAAGATTTATCATAAATACTAAATTCTTTAATTAAAGCAACACTTAATTATTTACCCGTGTAGGGTAACAGGTGGTTTTGTTGAACATATAATTAGACAAAATTGATACATTCATGATATTCTAATCTCTATAATTTCATTAGTGTACATATTCTTTGTCTTCTTCTTTTTATTATTGTAGGTGTGGCTGTTATGTAGGCCTGTCCTATAGTGACATGCATATAGTACCATATAATACTCTGTTCTGATGTACAGAGTCATACTAATTTAGACATATATATATATATACAGTATATACTAAGAACATATATTTACTATTTACTCATATTCTTTTATATTCAGTCATATACATTAATTTTATTACATTTATTTTAATTCGTGAATGACAATAGCATTTAATATTTTATTTTTGTAATTAATATTTAAAATTAGGGTATCTGTTTATTTATTTAATTATTTTTTCTACAAAAAATAGCAAACAATAATTGCCCCCCCCCCCCTGCAGTACCACTGCAGAACCCCTTGAGGTCGCCATCTCCCTGTGGAAGACCGCTGTGTTAGAGCATAAACTCTTTTAATACTTAATGTTGCCACAAGATGGCAGGGAACCTTAAGTTGTCCTCCTCGGGGAGAACTTCTCTGAACAAATGAGAAACTCTTTTGTTTAAAAAGATTCACGTTTATTACCTGAGATTCAATTTATCAAGAAAAAAATCCTGTTGTTCTCGAGTATGTGAAAATTAACTCTTGTGTCTTTTAAACCATATGTGACCTCTTCCTCAGAAGATCATTGTCTTCTTTTTGTCTTATATCTGTTGAGAAGTATTTCATATGCCTCCTGTATCTGAATGAACATCTTTTGTGCCTCTGCTTGCCGCTTGGGGTTGTGATCTGGATGCCACAATTTAGCCAGTTCCCTATAGCTGCTAGTGACCTCCTCCTGAGAAGCTTCTTCTGACAATGATAGTATCTGATTTTAAGAAAATAATATGATGACAAATATGTTATTATATGTAAACACACTGCAAAGTGAAAATAACAAATGTTATATACCCAGCTGACAACTCAAAACTATAGCCTACTGTGCTCACCTTCAATGCCTCCATTTCTTTTTTACTGTACTCATTAAGAATTATTTCTAGCACCTTCCTCCAGCTTTCTTCGTAGAAACCCCCTCCTGTCAGGACACATAGCAGACGGTATGGCAACAGCAGAAAATACTCCAAGAGTCCTTTGAGCCATGGAATAAACCAGAAGAAATCAAGCAGGGCCGCTATACAGTCCGATATGTAGTATAATGTGGCAGTGGTGTTGTGGAAAGCACAGTATCCCAGCGGAGCAGAGAAAGCCAGCACACCTAAACTCAGACGATACAGACGAGGCCCTTGGGAAGATTAACACAAATTGGGTTAATTAAATAGTCTTGCACATGATGTAACCCAAACGTCAGACTTTACCTAGCTAACAAAAATATGTCCTAAGAATTCCAAATGTTATGAAAACATTCAAACTCTTAGCTGTGTAGAGTATCAAAGTATCAAAAATATGTTCTTAGAAAGTTGTTAATGTTCACATTAGGTCCAGTTTTTTTCAATGTTTTAAAAACACTTTTTTTTTCTTGGTTATGTGAATGTTAAAGGAATAGTTCACACAAAAATGAAAATTGTGTCATCATTTACTCACCCTCATGTCGTTCTAAACCTGTATACGTTTATTTCTTATGTTGAACACAAAAGAAGATATTGTACTAGGTTGACATGCATTAAATGTCATATGTATAGTGCATCTCACCAAGTGGCTCTGGCCTCAGAGGTTTGAATGTGATGTGCTGCACAGAGGTAACACTGCCAGCAATGCTGATGGGCAGAGGAGAAAGATTGCTGCCGTAGAAGATGGATGACGTGATGATGCACGTAATGAGGGTCTTTTGAAGGTCAGAGGTCTGCTGGCCCACAGAGGACACCAGATGAATACCTGTAGCTACGCTCAGTGGGAGTACTAGGAAGTAGAAAAAGCTAAGAGAACTGAGGCTTATTAAAGCCACAGAGCCGAAGTAAATACCAACACAAATCTGACCGGCAAACCGAATCAGGCCTACTGGTGGTGGTGGAGTGGCTTGTGGACGTCTAACAGGGGCTCTGTCTGCTGCACGGTTGGCTTCGTTCACGTACGATGGGATACGGAAGAACTCCCTTGCCCAGCCAAGGCCAAAACCGCCGAAGGTTAGTATCCAAAGAAGAGCATGGCTGTCTCTGCCCAGGTAAATGTGATGAAGGCCAAGTGGGCCACCCATTGCCCACAAGGCGTATGTGATCATGATCTTTTTAGCCATGAGGTCATTCTAGCTGCACACTGGAGCTTGAAAAAAAAAAGTCAATCATTTTCAAGTTTAGCCTATAACATAATTATGAAACTGCTTAATAATAAAGTTTATGGACAAGCATGTCGTGTGAATCTCATACAGTTTCTAAAAGAATAGTTCACCCAAAAAGGAACATTTCATCTGCTTCTCATCATGTAAGACTTGGAATATAGCATGTAAGACATATTGACTATGGTGCTTTTTTCTCTTTTGAGCTTGATAGCATTGGTCTGCATTTACTGTATGAACAAGAAAAGCACATTTTGGTAAGTATTTTCTCCTTTGGTGTTCCACAGACGATATAAAGTCATACAGGTTTGGATTTGACATGAGGGTGAGTAAACAATGACAGAATTGCCATTTTTGGGTTTTATGATTTTGATAATCTCTCTTTTCACTCTCTCAAATCACCCATGGCTTTCAAGTTATAAAATCATACAGCTCACTGTTCTCTTACCTGCGGGAACTGAGAGATCAAGCTTCATTCACCAAATTGTTTTAGAAGACTCCTATAACATAGTCAGGATTAAAAATATAAGAATGCATGCAATAGATCACAGCATTATCGCTTTGAGGTTAACTTAAAATTTAAATCATTCACTTTCAGAAAGTAATAACCTATGGACTTCCGTGTTTGCTTCAGTATGGACTTTGGTTTAATGATGACACGGTTGTAAAGAGTAAACTTTGATTTACAATATCTGTCAACACTTTTCAGACATGGAACATTAGACATTTACTAAAATGCACTGGATTTCTTAAAAATGTTTTTACTGGATAAACATGCTGTATCCTTAGACAGCAACCTTAAACACATTTCTGTTAATCTATTAATGTTTAAACGTTTGTTTTTTTAATCATTGACTTTTATTTAGCAAGGGTGCATTAAATTGATCAAATAAAGAAGACAATAAAGATTTCTGTTTCAAAAAATTCTGTTATTTAGAAGTTTCTATCCTTCAAATAATCCTGAAAAAAATGTATCATGCTTTTCACAAAAATATTAAGCACCAAACTTGAGCTTGAGCACCAAATTAGCATTTTAGAATGATTTTTTATAGATAAAGCATTTTTGAATTTGTTATATAATTATTAATTACAATATAGTTATTCATAACAATTTATTATTTGTTTTAAAGAAATTCACACAGTTGCTTGTGAAAAGAGCAAAGAGTATTGATAGCACAGCTCTAAGAACAATATCAAAGAATAAAATTATGTTTCACTCAGTTTTAGTTTGTCGGAGTCTAAAGTGCATAAGTATATAAAATACATACAAAATTTAAAATAAAATACTAAGATAATATCAATAATAAAAAAACTAGATTTTGGGCTCCTCGATTTTGAACTAGGCCTATTTTTTTATTGTCAGTGTAGTGTTTTGTTTTGTTTTTTAATTGAATGAGAAATATACCATTATTATGACAAAGTATTTCAAATACTTTGATATTATCATTTATTTGGGCCTGCAAATTTCATTAGTCTTAACCCCGCCCCTTCCTCCTCCCACAGTCCAGCCCCTCCAGTAGATGCAGTTTGAGAGCGTCTGAACGATTTATTTGAAGAGCATCTGTGAGCACGCTGGCTGGGAGACTTTCGTAGTGTTTATAATTTCCTTGTTAGCAGGTGAATAATAATTTGAGAAGCAACTATCCACCTCACTGAAGTAAAACAGGAGTAATTCGTTGATTTAATAACTTCAGCTAGAGCAAACGCGATGCGTTTGGAGGTGGAAAGCGTGTGTTCGCTTTAACTGAGACAAGTTTCCACGTAGGCTATTATCGTCTCGGAGACTGAAATGTTTTACAACTTATAACAGAGAACACGCCAAGACATGGTTTCAAAGCATGGAAACAGAAGACGTGACGGTTAGAGAGCAACTATTCCACGACCGAGTCCGAGAAACCATTGTGAGTTCTCCTCTCTTTGCTTCTCTTGTTTACATAGTATTATGAATTAGGCTACCGCTTGCGGTGCTACAATCTGAATGCGCCCTTGTGTTTGTTCTAATGGAATTCAGTAACAATTGATTGATTTGATGATTGTGTGAATGTACACGAGGACTTTGTTCTCATAAAATCATGATTTCACTGCGAGTGTTTGTGTTGTTCTTGCACTGTTCTTGTCTACACAAAAGAGACCCTGAGGCATCCATTTACTTTATATTGTACTTTAAGAACTATTAGGCCTACATAGTGATGCACAGCTGCTCATTGTAAAATTGAATGGCAAAGGAAGAGACCGCTCAGCTTTTTGTGATCCAGAGCTCATTTTGGAAAACAGATGAGCTTTTGGCATCCTCATGTGTGAGATGTCTTTCAACACCTAATAAATTACAACTGTCTATAACTGAACTTCAGACCTCAAGAACCTTACAGCGAAACAATTGGAGTTAACCTTTACTCCTTCACAATGTATCTCACTCAATATTTTAGAGCAATACATTTGGTGCTTATTTTTAAACCACTAATCTGGTAGGTTATGCAATTCACTAGCTAAAAAAAGGACCCCCTAAAACTATAGATTACATGACAATCTAATACATCACTTAAGAATTCTAGTCTTAATATGTGTAAAGCAGTCGTAGACATTGGTTTTTCAACACAAACAAAAACTCTTATTTTCAGACATTTTAAGTGCATACTCTCTTATTTATACATTCTTCTGTTCTGTTTTTGTCTGCGTGATGCAAAGCTGTAATCCTCCTAGAAAATGAGAAATGCCTCTCTTAGTGAAATGCACAGATGGGTTACACTAGATAATGTAAATCCGACCCATTGTCCTGCCCCAGGCCGTGGGCACCACAGAGCTCATGCTGTCATGGTTATATTGATCCCTGTCGCTGATGCTTCTCATCTGGGATTTATAATTTAAATCAGTGGTTTTCAACTGGTGGGCTGTGACCTAAAAACATGTCACCGGACTGTGATCACAGACTACAGGGAAAAACAGTGTTAAAGGTAAAATTGCAAATAATAAAATGCAAATAACCATGTAATTTTTTTGTAGTTATTGTAACAAATTGCCAAATCGGCTTTTAAAAAGGGTGGAGAAAATGCTTTACATATCTTTTGTTGTTGACGTACAAAGATGCGCACAATGCATACAATGTGCGTACAGTCAGACTGGCTCCGTCATTCAGTGATATGACTAATACTAATAACAAAATATTAGGCTTGGTGATTCTTTACTGCTGATGATTAATCACTTATGCTGTTATTTATATATTTACGAAGCTGTCATTGTTTATATTGGTTAATTTTCTATGCTTTATAGTTCATTGTATTACAAATAAAATGCCTTTTTTTCCCCACTTTTTTTTTTTTATTACTATTGCATGAAAAACAGTTTTGGTCTTGTGTTGGCATTTGATGCCCAATGAAAGCCCTGGCTTTTTAAGTAAAACCGTTTGAGAGCCACTGATTTAAATAAATCTGTGTATTTTGATTCAGACTTTAAAGTGATATATATATATATATATATATATATATACACACACACACATACACTACCGTACAAAAAAAAGTTTGGGGTTGGTAAGATTTTTTTAAAAGTTTCTTATGCTCACCAATTTATTTGATTGAAAATACAGCAAATGAAACTGTCATATATGATAACTATTTAAAATAACCGTTTATATTTATAATTTAACATAACTATAATGATTTGAAATGTAATTTATTCCTGTGATGGCAATTATTTATTTATTTATCTTTTGATATTTCAAGATATTTGCACTAACATCAAACAGTTGATAAAATTGTTACCATAAGTCGTTGCCACCTAAATCAATTCTGTTTAAATAAACAGCTGAATTAAACCGAGAATGTACACGAATGTTTTAATGTCAGATAAAACCTTTTTTTGTAAACAGATCCTTGGGTGGAACTCAGAACTATTGAATTTCCACTTGTAAACCAAACACAAAATTTATGACAATGTCAGTTTTGTTCTTGGTTGAACTTCAGGAGGGACAGTCTGTTAGAGGGAGTAGCAGGTTTGGCACGGTTCCCACTCTGTAGATGTGCAAGGAATGCAGTGCATGTAACACACTTTATTAGGTGCATATCTGAACATGTTACTTGGCCTTCAACAATAGAGGGTTTTGTACTCACACCCACAGATGTTTAATAGTGTTTACTAAGGAGGTATCTTCTTTATGACTGGACATTATTATTTGTTGCTCCTGAAAACCAACTTGAATTTTTTTGTATTTAATATTTCCCAAAGTTCTATTCTAAAACTTTCTAGTAATGGGTTTACAGGTGCATCTCAATAAATTAGAATGTTGTGGAAAAGTTGAACCAAAGACTTAAACTACTTCAGTCTGTGTGCACTGAATTTATTTAATACACGAGTTTCACAATTTGAGTTGAATTACTGAAATAAATGAACTTTTCCACGACATTCTAATTTATTGAGATGCACCTGTAGTACCTCTGATCAAATCACGTTATTAGTGTTTTTGTCATACGTCTGTCCATTTGCTAGTCTATCCCAGGACACCTCAAGTGTTGTTTTCTCATTGTCAATTTACGTTCACTCTATAGCTGACTGTTTTGCTAAATAGCCTGTTTCACTTGAGTAAATAACTTGGACTTTGTTCCAAGTCTCATTGTGCAGAGAGAATTACCCAGAGCAGTTAAAGGAGACACATTATGCCCCTTTTTACAATATGTAATATAAGTCTCTGGTGTCCCCAGAATGTGTCTGTGACGTTTCAGCTCAAAATACTCCACAGATCATTTATAATATTATTTTGAAAATGCCTATTTTGAGTGGAAGCAGAAACATGCTGTTTTTCGGGCCTGTCTCTTTAAATGCAAATGAGCTGCAGCTCCCCGCCCCATTTTCCAGAATAGAGCTGCGCCATTACAGCTCCTACCTGCTAAAAACATCTGTTTTGGTTCTGATTATGATGTTTATTGCACTGAAATCATGCGTTTTAAACCATGAGTTTAAACTTCAGATACATGGTTTTCTGAGCGCACACATCCGAAGCACACAGACAGAAAGCGGCTGTCACAGCATGCGAGTACTAAACTAAGTTCTCATTCACACACACATTTACATTAATAACACATGAGTTACAAAAAACAGTCGGTTATGTCTGTGAAGATAAACAGCTGGGAAATAAATTGCATGTTTAGTTTAGATCTGTGTGGCAGCAGCAATAAACAGTAAATAAATCAACTGCTCTGTTGTCTCCTTTGAGGCTGGGACTGTAAATAGTGTTCTGTGCTCGTCTGTGTAGCCAAAGACAGAACAGTTAGCGTGTTTTGCTCAAACGTTCGCCATGGCATTAGGACTGGTACACCGTTGTCGCTTGCTAAATCAAATGAAGGTGCCAGTGGGTGTAAACTTACAGATGAAGGGGCGGTAATATTATAATGAAATCCCTTTGCCACGTCACCAAGGGAGCGAAATCAGACGTGCTAGTTTTCTCAGACGCTTGTAGAAAAAGGCTTACCAAAACAGTTACTGGGTTAATCTTTTTCATGTTTCCTTGGTTGGTAGATACACCGGGGTCCTGATTATAGCACTTAAAACCTGGAAAAGTCAGATTTTCATATGTCGTCACCTTTAAATAAGCCTTAAGATTCCAAATGTTTGAGCTCAGCTGTTTAACCAGTTCTGCCAAATTGGTCAGCAAATACACTATGGATGACCTGGTTTCCTGTTCATAATAAAATTACACTTGCATTATATGGCCAGTCACAATAACATTGACTCATATTGATGAAGAGGTTTGAAAACATGCCCACCATTGCCCAATTAGATTAGTGAAATAGAAGATTTAGTTTCTTATCTTCTGTTTATTGACCTACAGAAACTGGTAAATATTGTCTCTGTCCACCCTTTTGGTTGTTTGAAATGATTTAAAGGGATACTGCACAAATAGTGACATTTCTGTGGTCACAGAGTGTCGTTCCACACCAGTTTCTTTCTAATGTGGAATTTCAGTGGAACACAACAGAAGATGCTTTCAATGAGAGTCAGTTGAGTCCAGTGTTGTTTTGGACCCCATTGACTTTCATTGTATAGACAAAAAACGATGAGGTATTTTTCAAAATTTCTTTGACTGGCAATACAATAAGACCGGACATGTATTTTCATGTTATATCCAACTGTTTTGTTACGCAATCTTTTGTTTCAGTTTTCACATGCTATATTTGAGCTTGGCTGTTTTAACTTGTTGGTTTAGTATATTCTGTTTTAGTCGAATGAAAGCAAACTATTCAAACGCTGAGCAAACAAATGTGTGAACACCTTTCAGCGCTTCAGTGATAGTATCCCACAGATCTATTGTTTTCACTGCTGTTTGCACTTTGAAGACAAAATCACAGTTTCCTGTCCCGTCCCCTCGCTAATCTCTTTTCCTCTTGCTGCCTTTCTTCCTCTTTTATTGGACATATGGTGCTTCAGAATTTTTTTTTCTTCAGTTCACTCAATATACAGCACACCTATAAGGTGTATTAAATACATAATCATCAAGTCTTTTGTTTCCTTTCTCAGAAGTATTGTTTCCAAATGCAGATCTTGTATCTGAATACATAGATACAAAATAATTTTTGGTTAATAACGTTTTCTCTGGATGAGAAGAGTCATGCATTGCCTTTTCTCCATGTTAAAATAGCACCAAAAGAAGAATAGCAGTCTGATGCCAGCATGTTATAGGAAATGTGTTCATCTGATTTTAGAGATTGTGGCTTTGTAGGTTTATATTAAAGTAAAATGAGACATTGACAATCAAGGTAATTGTGAAACCAAGTCTATTATATGTCTTCAGCCATTTTTCACAACTCTTTTGCACATGCTTTTTTTTTGTTTGTTTTGTTGCTTTTTTACTCTTGCATCAGCTAATGTATTTATTCTCTTCTGGTCAAATGTTGGGATGTTGCACTACAATTCTTTATGGCTGTTATGATTTAGGAATTTAATTGTTTTTAATTTAATTTAGGGCTGCAAAATGATTAATCGCATTCAAAATAAAAGTTTACGTTTACATGCTATACGTGTGTACTGTGTTTATTTATTATGTATATATTTAAAAAATATTTATGTATATTTATTCTTGTATATAATATATATATAAATATTTTATATATAAATCTAACATTTTTCCTTAATATATACATGTATATGTGTGTATTTATATATACATAATAAATATACACAGTACACACACACACACACACACACATAGTATGTAAACACAAACTTTTATTTTGAATGCGATTAATCGGGAGTAATCGTTTTGCAGCCCTAATTTAATGTGGGGTTTTTTTTACATTTTAGGGTGCTTCGACAACAATTTACAATTACAATTTATTATTATTATTAAAGTAATGATAACAATAATGAATTCATGTTTAGCAGTATAATGCGATGGCGCCGCAGATGGCGGCCTCAGTGTTTGGCTCTCCAGTGTTTGTACTGTTTTTGTTCGTTTTTCCTGTTTTTTGTTTCTCAAACACGATCAGTTTTACCAGGGATGAGCTGCTGAACATTCGGCAGAACACAGCACACAATCTTCTACCGGATTTCGTTTATTCGGACGCTTATACTTATTTATCACCCTAAACCCTAGTACATCCCTACAACTTTATTTTATTCTATTCCTATTCCATCTATACCACACCTGTACATACAATTTATTCTTTTTTTTGTGGTTTATATTTATGCATGTGTATTTTATTCACAGATAATAAAAATGAAATGGGTTGTTGTTGTCTCTGTGTACTGGAAGCTTGTGACACTATAACAAATTCCTTGTATGTGCAAACATACTTGGCAATAAAGCTCTTTCTGATTCTTTCTGATTAACATTTTAAATATGACCAACTGTTAAGTTATTGTGATAAATCTATAAATGTGCTGTAAATGTCTAAATTGCCTGTAAATCTTTACTGTGTTTAATCTATTAATATCTAATCCCAGTTGTAACTGGTTTAACTCCTCATTTGCATTTGAGCTGTAATCTTCATCCACCATCTGGTGCTGTTACCTTCATTCTCAAGTCTGTATTGTGGGTGTTCATTCATTTGGAATTCAGATTTCTAAGAAAAGGGACAGCTGGCATTAAAAAATGACACTGTACTTACTGATGCACACGAGGGCTGTGCGATTTGGGGGAAAATATCAAATTGCGAATTTTGTTTAAATTTTTTTTTTGACAGATATTGCGATTGCAATTTGATTTGCGATTTTAAATTTGCAAAGTCAAGCTTCAGCTCAATATTGCCAATAATGTGCAGCACAGTATGGGTAATCATTGCCCTGCTGGAAAAAACAATAGAAACCATCACAGAAATTCTTATAGTTTACATTAAAACCAAACAAATTCCCATTATAACCTGAAATACATTAAATTTGTTACTGTGTTTTGGGAGGGGTTCTATTGTTTTTTTTTTCAGCAGGCAAGATTATAATGGTATAACTACTTTTACAGAATTTACTTAATTACTGAATTTCACAGAAAATATTCATTTTTTTCTAAATAAAGAACTGTATTTAAGTCAATTATTAAAGTATTACATACATAGGCTGATTTATTCATTTGAAGTATTTGGGATTTTAAGAGCAAGTGGAAAATGTGCTGAATGTTTCATCTATTCAAATTAATCTGTTGGGGAGATAAAATGTGCAAGATATCGTTCACGTACTAACAAAAACATCTAAGAATGTATCTTTTATTCTCCAGTACTGAAAACAGAACCGATACGGGAGCTTTTGATATGCGCTGTGACGCAGCTCTTGCAAATTACCTTTTTTGTTCGTTGTCTGTCATTTCGAAGCTTACCTTGCATACGTTTTTTTTGTTTTAATTTGCCTAACTATCGATCTGACTCAGTAGATGCCATAATCCCACTCTGTCTCTCGCCCGCGTTGTTGTTGTTTTTTTTAATGGTGGGTGTTTACTCAGTTGGCTAGAGCAGTGCTGATTGGGGAGAACGGAGGTGCGCTCACTCTATTGGTTAGTAAGACTGCCACTCAAGGCTGGCTGTCATGCATATGCTCTGGAACAAAGTAATATCGCGTCCATATCGCAGGCTTTGCGATTAGGAAATCGCAACGTCTCAAATCGCGATTTCGATTAATCGCACAGCCCTAATGCACACTTGCTGATTCACTTGCTATTGCCACACAAATGACTGGTTTTTATATTCTGGGACACTAAATGCATTTTCCATTATCTTTTATAAAGAATATGAAATGTATTTCTATAATATCTTTGACCGGTCCCGTCCCATCCCACCCCTTCACCAGTCTGTGTGTTATCATTAAGAACCTAATGTCCTTGATTAGGAGCTGTTATGTCACAGAGCTGTAAAGGCAATCTGGACTGTGCACAGCAGTGTGTATCAGTGATAATGGGGCTGTGTTGGAGTGTGTTTCATGAACTCTGCTCTGTTACAGGGTCTTGATAACTTAAATTGGCAACACATCTAAGCAGCGTGTTTGCATAGCACGTCTTGTTGCTGCCTGTTGACGGTTGTGTTGCTCATATTAACTGCGGAACTCATACTGCAGATGTCTGTGAAAATGTATGTCATCTCTGATTTTCTGCAAAGTTCCATTTCCACCCAATCTTCCCAGAAAGGTTGAGATTATTCCTTCATGTAACATGAAATGAAACGTTTTGAAGAATGTTCGCACTGCTCTCTTACATGCAATGAAATTGTCTGGAGACTAAGTGTATGGATCTTAATGTTCCTAGAAGGACTTTCTAAAATGGATCCATGCACTGTATTTAGTGTCTTTTGAAGTCATACCAAAGCTTTATGAGAGAATGAAATCTTACAATATTTATATACAAGAAGAAAATCCAAAATTGATATGGTTTGGCATATTAAAATCGGCTTAATCTTTTTTTTTATTTTTATTCTTCTTCTTGAATAACAAGCCTGTACTTTATTACTTCATGTTGTCTGTAAATGTAATGTAAATGTCATTTTTCAAATTGCACTTATGTTCTTCTATTTCCTGTTTTAGATTTGCGTGCTGCTTTTCATTTGCCTGTACATCTTGTCTCACTTCATTCTCACTCACTTCAAGAAGAATGCTGAGTTTGTCACTGGTAAGTTCATCGTGACCCCCGGACCCTCTGCAGTTGTTTGGCTTCATGCAGTCCAGTCCTTCAAAGCACACCTACAGCTGCTCTCCATTTGTTGGTCAGCACAACCTGACATGGTCATGCTCCTGCACTTTCCAAAAAATGCTTTGTTTGGTACCCAGTCATGCTCAGATAATGAATTATTCAGTGTTGTTGGTTGAATATCTGAAATCATCTCCAGAATAGCAGAGTCAAAGCTTCTGATTGCTGTTGATAGCAGTTATGTAACATCGAGGGAGGTCAGCAGTGGGGATGAGGAATGTTCCCGTGAGATAAACATAGGCCCCCTGCCCGAGCACTGCCTGAGGTTTCATAAGAGAACACTACCTCATGTTTTGCTGTACACCCCATAATTGAACTCTCTGCTCTTTCCCGGTTCTGCTATACCTACTTTCAGTGGAAAATCTGAGGGATGTTTTTTCTAGTGTCTGACTTCTGCAAAACGCATCACGCTTTAGACTGTTGAAGGATTGTTAGGGACTGTCCACGCAGGATGCATTCTTGTCCAAAACAGCTAAGTAAAGCAGGACAGAATGCTCTTTTCTCTTTTTTGCCTTTTTAATTATATAGGTCAGTGGAGAGCTGATAGGAAAGCTCTGGGACATCAGTTCAGACTTGAACCTGGGTCCCCATGAGCACAGCTGCTCCTGTGTCATCACAACATTCAAATACGTCCATGCTTACATAATCACAAATTAAAAAATAGTGCAGAGGGATGTAAGAACATCCTGTTAGACACACTTAAAGAACATTGTGTACTGAACGTCAAGCCAAGCCATTGCCATTATCACACATTTTCAAATTTAAGAAGCAAACAGAATCACTTAAGATATTTTTGTCTTTTTGAGGCATCTAAATATCAAAGTCCGTTTTATAGTCTAAATGTGCACCGATCGTGGAGGGCTGCTGAAGCTGTTTCTACAGTTGCATATTGGCTGTTTTGAAGAATCTGTGCAAAAAACCTGTTTTGAATTAGGTTTGGAGCACTCCCAGGAAATGTCACAATGGGCATGTTTGCTTGTTTTTAAGTCATTTATGCTTGCAAAATTTTATCAAAAATAAATCTTAATATTCTTCTGATGGCAGAGCTGAAATTCAGCAGCCATTACTTCCGTTTTCATGTCACATGGTCCGTCAGAAATCTAATATGCTGGTTCAGTGCTTAAGAAACATTTCTTGTTATTACAGATGTTGAAAACTGTGCTGATTAATATTTTGGTGGAAACTGATACATTTCACAAACTTTCACGAAACAGCATTTATTTGAAATAGAAATCGTTACCTTTTAAATCTTCACTGTCCATTTTGATCAATTTAATTGATCCTTGCAGAATAAAAGTATAAAAAGTCTTACTGACCCCAACTTTTGAACAGTAGTGTAACCACAAATGTGCATTTGTGTATTATGCAGGTTGTGGTTTTTGCTTTTTAATATGGTAAGAGTACAAAATCATTTAGTCACTTTTCATTTTCACTCTGTCTCCGTTTCAGGCTTGTGGAACCTAGTCTTCTTATTCTCAAACCTTTCATTGGTCTTCCTCATGCCATTTGCGTATTTCTTTACTGAATCCGAAGGATTTGCTGGGTCCAAAAAGGTAAAAATGTAATTAGTTGTGTCAGTAAATGCAAATACAGAACATTTGAACTCAGTTCTGTGTCTGATGTCCTTTGATATGTGTTTTCTCCTCTGAAAGGGCATTATGGCACGAGTGTATGAGACTGCTGTAATGTTGCTGCTGCTCAGTCTGCTGGTGCTGGGCATTGTTTGGGTGGCATCGGCCCTCATCCATCACAACACTGCTCGTGAGAGTCTTTATGGTGAGGCTGTGAAGCATTAGAGTAGCACTTGTTCAGTCTCTTTGATTGTGTTCAGTTAAATAGAGGACCATTTATAATGCCAGCTCGACTCCCAAATTTCCTCTTAATTGAATAAGTGCAAGATAAACAAATTGTTTTAGTAACAGTCTGCTTTTTCTCTTGTGCTTTTCAGACCTGTGGGAATATTACCTGCCCCATCTTTATTCTGGAATCTCACTCTTTGGAGTTCTGCTGCTTTTGTGTAAATGTTTGAGTGTATATATATATTATTTATTTGTTGGGGGGTTACATTTTTTTGTTTGTTTTAAGTCATTTATTGTTGATGTTTAGTTTGATATTTTATTGCATTTGACTTTCTGTAAATATAGATTTGTTGCATCATTTTTTTTGTCTTGTAACAGTGTGCACACCCTTTGGGCTTTCACGTATGTTTAGCGTCACTGGGAGCTTATTAGTCAAACCTCGGGTAGGTGGACAAGATCCCTCACTTATTCTCATAAAGGCTGCATTTTATTTGGTTAATATAGTAAAAACAGTAAAAATAACTTCTCTATTTGAATGTTTTAAAATAATTTATTCCTGTGACTGTAATTTTTTTTTTTTCAGGATACTTTGATGAATAGAAAGTTAAAAAGAACAGAAAGAACGGATTCTATTGAAATATAATTTTTTTTTAACATTATACATGTCTTTACTTGCTTTACTGTCGCTTTTAATGTATCTTTGCTGAAGTATTAATATTAAAAGTATTTATTTAAAACATCTTACTGACCCCGAATGTTTTGAAGGATATTGTAAATATTTGAGGAGTTAGAAGTATGAAGTATAGTCTTTTTTTTTTTTTTAAAATTTAAAAACTCAAGTATAAATGTATTGCACAAAATGTAAAAATGAAAGCAAAGTTTTCAGAATAGCAAACAATGGTCAAGGATAAAAAAATAATAAAAAAGTACATCCAAAATTTAATAACGCATTTAAAAAAAAATGAGCATGAATCAAAACTCTAAACACATTGAAAATCATATTGCACAAAGCTGAAGTATTCATGCAAAATTATTCGACTTGCACACAAAATCATGTTTTTGGTTATATTTCTCACTTTTTTTTGTGCTTGCAGACATTTTTTGCTCATATTTTTGATTTGCGCATATTATTTTTCGATCCATGACCGTTGTTTGCTTTTCTGAAAACTTTAATTTTTAGCTTTTGTGCAATATATTTTTACTTCCGTTTTAAAATTTTGGTTTCACTCTTGTTTTTTTTTTTTTTTTTTTATCCGTGACTGCAATACTTTTGGCAGGAATTTGATCCCATACCTTCAGGGCCACAGTCTTATGAATCATCAGTTCAGTTTTGTAATGCTGTTTTGTCTATCCAAAAGAGGGCACTAAGTAGCAACATTTCAGCAATATGTTTCCATTGTGCATTACAATTAGGAAAATATTTAACTATAAGCTCTTTATATTCCTCTTTTTCCATGTAATTACATGTAGGAATCACAAGGTTTGATCTGCTTGGAGACTTTGGACGGTATAACTGGCTTGGCAGTTTCCACATTGTTTTCCTGTACAATATGCTTTTTGCTGGACTCACATCCGCCTGCCTCATCAACACAGTCACATGGGCCTTGCAAAGAGAACTCATCCGTGCCTTTGGTTAGTTGCTATTTATTTATTTATTTATTTGAGAAGGATGATCCATGTATTGCATTTCTCATGCATTTATATATGTATACGTGTATGTGTATGTATATGAGTGTAAATATATGTATATGTGTATTTTTTATGTATTTAAATTAGTGCTGTCAAACGATTAATCGCATCCAAAATAAAGGTTTTTGTTTGCATAATATGTGTGTGTTCTGTATATATTTATTATGTATATTTAAATACACACACGCATACAGTATATATATTTTGAAAATATTTACGTCTATTTATATTCATATAATTTATTATAAATAAATTATATTTAATATATAAAAACTTTTCTGAAATATATACATGCATGTGTGTGCATTTTATTTATTTATAAACTTATTTATAATTTACATAATAAATATACACAGTACACATACATAAATTATGTAAACAAATATATATTATTAATCGTTTGACAGCACTAATTTAAATATAAATATATTTCTTAAAAAATAACTTTCTTTAAATACAATACAATACATGTAATATTTAAAATGTTGAAATATTTTTAAAGCCTTTTAATTTTGCCGTTACACCACAAATGCTGTCTATACCCCTTTAACTTGTATTGAACCCAGAACATTCCTTTCGTTAATTCTAATGTTTATCTCAAGGAAAGCGTGTGAGGAGAAAGATTTGTGCATGTACACATTGTATCTTGAAAGGACAAGGGGTGTGCTACACTGCCATTTGCCAGTGTTTGTAGTTAGTCTTTGGGTGAGGTGTTCCCCGCACAGGCCATGTTTCTCTATGGGTAGGTCTCTTTCCTCAGATAGAAAAAGCACAATTCTCTCAGGAAAGTGAGTGGGGACAGAAGGGGAGAAGGGTTCCTTGGGGACCTCAGGGCGTCAAACTCCTTCTGGAAGACACACGCCCATCACCCTCCGCCCAATACAAACAAAACTGCTGAATGTGAACACACACACTCACACTTGCGCGCATAGACCATCTTCAGATAGCATCTTTTTTTCTTTACTCCCCCAACTGGCTTTTGTTCTTTGATTGATTGGTTTGCTTTCAACCCAAACATCGCATGCCAAAATGACCTTTTCTGGTTGTTAGATCATGTTGTTTACTCTCCTTTTTGCTTTCTCCAGGTCTCCACAGACTGCCTCTGACTGTGTCTCGATCAACTATCCCCCTCAAACTACTCCTAGCCAATGGGCTCTCAAAGATTCATTGAAGAGCAATCAGCTTTTTGATCTATCATTGGCTACTGAAGCCTTTTACCTTCTGGAGAAGGTTCTGGATCCCAGTCTATGGCTTCTCTATTGGACCAGAGCTATTTTGTGTGCATTTTAGGTAAACAATAGTCACCAAAGATGTTTACAAAGTGTGCCTGAACCATATACGTTGACCGATGGGACCTTCTAAGTGGGATTCTGCAACTGCAGTTTTATGCGTAGTAATATTTACGATTAGTACTGCATTTAATAAAGGGATGTCAAATCACTGGACGCCTTGAACAAATGCCATATGAAACAATGGCTACAGAGGACTTTGACATGCGTCCAGACAGGAGAGCTATTTCAGAGGATGACATCACAGCCATGACCACGTTTCCTTTTCCTGGTGGTGGAATGAGAGTGTTGAGTTGTCCTGGTGGGCCCCCACGCTTTCCCCTTGTATATCACTATTTTTAGTGTCATCCAGTGAATTCAGTTCTGTTGGTCCTTATTGCACTGGCATTGGAAGTCCAGTCTGACGGGGTTTGTCTGCTTCTGAATGAAGTGAAGATCCTTGAGAAAAGGGATGAAAGGATAACAAGTGACCGTGATCTTGAAGATGATGTTCACTGAGAAAACAAATGGGGTTCTAGTTTGTAAAATACACTTTTTGTAGAGTTTAGGTTTTAAAATGTATGTTTAAAAAAAATGGCTGACTGATTTCAATCTTTAGGCCAAGACAGCTGTGAATGTTTGGGGATTTTGTTCCCTTGTTATATTTAATATGTGAATCTTTAATGTGCAATATTGTATTATGAAACGTCGACACAATCTAACTTGACCTCCTTCCAGAAACTTGTGCTGATGACCAAAAGAAGGTGTTTGGCCCAATTAAGAACACCTAGATTGGGCAATAAGTTCAAAGTTTTGTTAGTTCTTATGTTTTGGGTTGAGCTATATAGAGGGACAATCAACGCACATGAACATTTCTTGTTTCACGGACACCAAGTTGCTGTGATTTTATAAATGTGGACTTTTTGATTCGATAATCACTCGTTTTATATGGTGCAGTATTATGGTGTACACATTTGCTGAGCAAACTGTTGTTTATTCTTTTGTATGATTCAGTTATTTGTGAATTTGCTTCCGTATCAGCATAATTTTTTAAACAAATGTCCTTCGAGTAGTGGCCAGTAGAGGACAGTGTGCCACAAATCCATCATTGCAACATCTCTATCCTTCAGATTCTTCCTCAGCCATATTTTAATAACATGATACTTGCATAAAACAGATTTTCTTTTTCTTTGAGTATCTTTTACAGTAATGTATCTATTCTAAGTTGAATGTGAATCATTGCTTAAAAGGGATAGTTAGCCAAAAAAAATTAAAATTGTCACAATTTACTCTCCTTCATGTTGTTCCAAACCTGCATGACTTTGTTTCTTTTGTGGAACACAAAGTAAGATATTGTGTACATTTGGGAACATTTTGAAGAATGTTGAAGACATTTTAAAACAGCATTGGACCTCACTGACAACAGATATTTTTCAAAATATCTTTTGTGTTCATACAGGTTTGTACCAAAGTGAGCATAGGTTAAATAATGACCATTTTCATTCCTTTGAGTGTTTTTTCTATTCTCATAAAATGCTTTTTTACAGCTCAGAAAAACTGGATTCATGATGACAGACTGTCCTGCATTACTGGATCATATATGGATGTCTTTTTTACTTCATCATTAGAGAATTCTTTCAGGAAACAAAGAAAATACAGTGAGCATTGCTCATTTTTAAAAAGAAACTCCTGGCATTTTAATTGTTTGTTTAAATGTTAAGCTGCATCCTTTAAGGCAAGGTTAGCAACTGTGACAAACCATTTCTTTTCATTCCCTTCGAAATGCAGAGAAAAGAACAATAAATGTGTTTACACCGGTTTTTCCAAGCAATGTGTCATTTGTGAGTCATTTTAACCCCATTTTTGTTTCTGGATCTGCTAAAGACCTCTCTGTAGAGGTCAGCATACATATCTTGCCATCTAAGCACCTGACCACTGCTTTAATGGCGCCGTGGTGGTTATGTTTAGCTCTTATGTTAGTGTGCTTGTCTGTCCATACATCTTCCCCCAGCTGTCCCTCCGCCTGGCTTTAATCAGGGTCTTTATTTTGCCCTGGGTCTGTCAGCAGGCCGGTAGAGACGCCACAGCTGACCCATCCTGTGCTTTCCCCTCACGGATGCCGTCCATCCATATCGTCCATCCATTTTCCTCGTCGAGTGTTCATTTCCTTTTACTTTTTTCTTTTCTCTTAAAGCAGAAAAAGAAATCCCGGCCTCTGATTATGACTTGTCTGTCTTGTTTTTTGTTTTCTCTCTGTTTCTTGTGCTCTTTGTTGGATGTTCTGATTGAGCTAAAAAGTGGGATTTGTTTACCGTTGAATTTCCTCTTCTAAAACAGAGCTTTTACTGAAACAGACCATTTTAGGCAGCGAGTTTAAGCAGACGTTATGACAAGCAAAAGTTAAGATTTGTGATACATAAAATATTTAGCATTTATTAAACCAATTTTCTAATCAAACAAATATTAGCAATTTAGTCTTGCAAATTGTTCATTGACTTTGACCGGAATATGAGACCACTGAATACATGGGACTCCACATGTCATTTTAAATCTGTAAATTAAAGAAAATAAAAATATAAAGATGTTTTCTTAGAGACATGTCACTACGAAGGAAATGTATATGCAATGTTTAAGATACTACATTATTTCTAAGTCACTAATCAAAATTTGTGACATTGATCATGTGAACTCAAACTAACAAACTGATGTACTTATATGATGGCAATGTAGGACTTGTCCTCTCAGTTTCAGTTTACCTCAGAAACGTTTAGTTCAGGGGTAGGCAAGTTCGGTCCTAGAGTTCAGCTCCAACCCTAATCAAACACACCTGAACAAGCTAATCAATGTCTTCAGGATTACTAAGGCTATAGGCAGGTGAGTTTTGTTTTCAGGGTTGGAGCTGAACTCTGCAGGACTGCGGCTCTCTAGGACCGAACTTGCCTACCCCTGGTTTAGTTGAACAATATTGGGTGGACGCATGTCACTCGTGTTGGTCAGCAGAGGGCATGTGACTGGTCCGAATCAATCATATCAGACAAGAGGAAGAAAGGCAGTCTTTCACAGGTTGCGATAGGCTATCGTTATTGTCAAAACACAAGAATGAAGAGGAAAATAGGCAGATTAGCTTTCCTGGCGGTTGTTTGAAGTGTAGCCAGAGTGCATTAGAAGATATTATTCCTTCTGGAAAATAGAAAACTCGCGGCCGGAAAAGACTTGCTAATCAACTGATAATGAGCCGCGCTGCCCGCCTGCGACAGCACATCCACACCCACCTTGCACACTCATGACACCCTCCCTTCACACACTCGACAGCCTTTCTCACACAGAGGTGATTTTGTCAGAAAATGACCACAGCAAATAAAAAAAAAATATATATATATATAATTTGTTTTATAGAGAGAAAAAAACCCCTTAAAACTCTCCGATTTTATTTAGGCAATTTTTTTTAATTTAGGCTTAAATCGTGTTAGTGCACTCCTCCAACAACTTCGACAATGACTTTTATTTCTTTAAAATTAAAATATATTAAAGATTTGGTTGCAGAACCACAGCTATAAAGAGACAGAGCATATGCTATGAAATAAGTTAATAAAGAAGCTTTACTAATATCACAGGACATCTTTATTTGATATATATATATATATATATATATATATATATATATATGTCTATTCTATATCCATTCTATATCAATTCTAGCCCACACACAACAAGCCAAAACTCACCCTAAAGCCGGTGTGTCACACATAGGCCAGATCTGGCCCACACACAACAAGCCAGAACTGACACTAAAACCAGCTTTATGTGTGTTGGCCAGATCTGGCCCATATGACCTCTGCCATTACCAGAACTGAGCCATATGTGCCATAGTTGGCCCATGATGAGGCCCGGAAGTGTATGCTATCTGGGATGTTTGGTGGGTGCCATTCATATCGTTTACCACTATGTTAACCATGTCAACAAGCTTTGAGTAATGAACCTTTTTTAATATACAGTTGTGAGAAAGCTTCGTTTAGACGTCACTATTCACTAATATTGAATAATCTACATTTTGACACTTTGGATAGTCACTTTGTCTGTTTTGCTTGCCACAACACATTGAAGCGCATATCCAAACAACACGCAGACACTAAAGGTGTTTTGTTCTGGGGCGTCGCTAGTGGGGGGAAAAGGGTGACAGAGTGCATAGGGCCCAGAGGATTCCCCCCACTGAAGGTGATTTTGAGGGGGCCCCATAGCAAATTCAGTGCACAGGGCCCAGGGCTCATTCCAGGCGACAGTGTTTTGAATGAATAATTTAAGTGAATGATTCAATTAATCGTTGAAAGACATTTACTAAATTCAGAAATGCTACTACTAGCATAATATTTATGGCATTTAACGATATGTTAAAATAGTATGCTAGTATGGTTCCAAGTCACTTCAATACTCCTTGAATGCATCAGTGTTTTGAACGAATCATTTGAGTGAACATACTTGTGAAAACAGTCACTTTGTCACTTGCTCCTACTGTTATATTTCTAGACAAAGTGAAAGTGACTTTCAAATTTTTTCGAATAAATACTTTAAAAGGCTGAATGAATTGTTCTATGAGTGTTTTGTATAATATATCAATTAGTCATAAACGCTAGACATGAATGTTGTCCTGTGTTATCTTTTGTTTTCCTGGTCAAGTTAGTTATTCACTGCTGTAAAAACATGTTTCTAAATCTGGTCAGCATGATAGCAGGTACAGTACATTATCTGCAATATATTCTCTTCTCTTGACCTTTAACCTGTTTGTTTTGGGTCAGGAAGTTCCACCCTGATCTTCTATTGTTCTGTCACTGTTGTTGTATTACGGCAATTATTATATAGGCAAATTTCAATCTCTTATAAAAGCACAGGCATGCATATATAGACGGCGCATGACGTGACGACTAAACCAGGCCATAATGCGGCACGGAGTATCTATGTACACCTATGACAGATCATCCTGTTTATCCATGATCCCCTGTCACATTGCTCTGGACTGTGATAAGCAAGTTATTTAAGGTAAGGGGCAGCCTATGAAGCTGTATGTTGGCGCTGAAGCCAGAAATCATGTGCTTTTAGCATAGCACAGTCCGACACACCGCCCTGCCTCTTCCTGCACTGATAACAGGGTGAGGGACGATAGAATTGACCGATGGTGGTGGGTCACAATGGGTGTAAGCGCCTTGACTCTTCTCGGCAACCCCAACAGCTTTTGTCTCAGGAAACGTATGCAGAATAGTGTCTAGTCAGCATTTTCCTACTAAATCTAAGTGGCTCTGCCTTATTTAAAGGCCCGTGTTACATAAACATGCTCTGTAACATCTGACATGATTGATTGAACACCATCACCCCCCAAGATCAGCTGACTATTCGAGGCAATTTTGGAATCGAGGGCTTTGCGAATGACGCAGCATCTAATTTTGCTGATGCCAAGTAAAGTACCATGAGCTCAATGGCACTTTACTATTATAAGGCCAGGTGTAGTCACGATTCGTCTGTAACGGGAAAATGAGGGCCAGGGTAACTCTGGCAGGAAAGATCTTATTTTATGTGCTGTGGCTGCTCAGGAAACTCAGCCATTCACTGTTCTATATACTCCCATCCTGAAGTGGGGGAGTGAGGTCGCTTAAGAGACTAGGAGGTGGGGGAATGCAGAAATACTAATAACAATTACACAGTTTCCATTTTGAAACAGTTGTGTTTATTTTTATTGTCATCTCCTCCCATTAATGTTTAATGGCAGCTATTTTCTCTATTTCCCCTTGGCGAAATGTCAGTATCACTGATTGTGCTCTTGAAAGCATTTGTACTTGTGATTAAGCTTTTCCCCACATTTGCTGTTATTTGTGGTGTCTGGGACGTGTGATTGAACCACAGATCCGTCCATCAGTTTTGTAAATGCATAAAATATAACCTACTGTATGATTGGGGTGGACCTCTGATTTATTCTAACATGCTACATAAATAAACTATATTGAACACAAAATAATATCTTATATAATATATTAGTGTGAGACTGCAATGTAAAATTGTAGTTAAAATGTTTTATTTAAACCTGAAAAATTGAAACAAAGATATATTATGAAGGAACATTACTTAAAATAGTATTGTTTAATAGGTTGATAGATTTCCTAAGAGCCTTAACCTTTTCATGCTTTATCTGTGTGTGTGAATTAATTGTCTGAGATGCCAAAGGTCTGGATGCATAACGTAGGTCAGCGGAAATCATTTTGATATTTTGCTGCTCTTTATTTTTCTTCCTCTTGCTCGCAATGCCATATTGACTTGATATATTTGTATT